TAAAAATTACCATGTTTATCCAAACGCCTCTAACCATTAAAATATTCCTATTAAAAAAATGCAAATCAAATTGATCAAAGTTTAAATTGGCACTATCGCCAGAAAATGTCGTCGAATTTTCAATAGGAAACTTCGGAATTGGTTCTTTGATTAGATGCAGAGTACTTTGGCCCTCCGGGACTTGGTTTAATGACTAACTTGTCTCGATGCGCGCTAATAATTAAGACAAACACTCGTGGGATATAACCTTACTTCAGACGTTTTATGCCGACATCAGTCTTACACCTTCAACAGGACCGTATTTTCAAAATCCCCTAATTCAAGTTGCTGATTTTTAGCTTAGGAGCCAAAGTTGTTAACCGTGTACTTACACGGTTTGAGTAAATTATCAGTAAACGATCTATAAATGTATTTCGTCTTTTAGATTTCAAACCATAAGCCATCGTATTTTCAATATATTAATCCCAATTACAATTTGAAATTTCATTTAAACTAAAATAAATAAATCAAATATTTTATAAATTTGATTGAATGCTATTACTTTTGAATCGCTATTTGTTCAACCAAATTCTTTGACAGCTATGCAGTTCATTCTACAATACCACTATTTCCGAATTGTGATTTTACAATTTAATGTTTGCTGAAAACCGAAAATTATGTTTGCGGAAAGTGAGGCACGATTTTAATCAAAACGAAGGAAAAGTGTAAAAACAGAAATAGTCATATTGTGGCCGCACTAGCGGAATGATAGTTTGCCAAAATATCATTAACAAATCAGTTTCATCTAAAAAATCTGTAAACACAGAAAATCAATTTTTGAAGGTAAGTTCGCTAATAATGAACAAAAGTTCGTTTGTAACCTATGATTGTATGAGATATTGTAGCAATTCCAGCTTGAGCAATGTTTTTTTGTTTGATTTCATAACTTTTTGTCAAACACAAGATAAACTGGTTCCGGCGCTGGAAGTCCCTATAAATTAATTCCTGTTACTTAAAGACAGTGACGTCGTACGCAACGCTTATTAATTGACTTTCACACTTCTTTAAACTTCCTCGCCATGAAAACTGTATGAATATTTATTGGAAATTAGCTTTGCGATTTAGCAGGAGCGCACACGTGAAGAAATTATTTCATTGAGCTACATTAAAAAAATGTTATGTTATACCCAGGCAGTGGAAAGCAAATCATAAAATCCGTTATAGTAAATGTAGACAATCTGTTATGTACTTTTGATATGTCGGTATTGCGAATAAAATATAACGCTTCTGAGTGAAACCGTTTAAAAAACTTGCATGGTCAATTAATTAGCAGGATCCATTTGCACTTAAACAGAAATAAAAAACATGAAAATTACGAAAATTTTGAGTTACTTTGAACAAAAATTAACTTGACAAATAGTTAGGAAATTAAATTTGGGAATTATCTTAGACAAGTGCAATCGACAAAAAATTAATGTACTAAACAAAACAAAGATTGATCTACTGAAACTTGTAAACTGTAAACTAACTTTGTATTTCGAACATTTCGAAAGACTTTATGTTTCACTTCAAAGTTTATACATATAATTTTTGAATCAGCGATGAGATTATTCGAATAGTTTCAGTTGTAAGTTAGGTACAAAAAACATAAAAATAATTATCATTGACATGTAATGTAAGGTGAATTAAACACAATAAAAACACAATCCTGACAGGCCTTTACTTAAATATGTATATTAAATTCAAATAACAGAAGTTCTTTGCTTGGCCCAATTTTAATATAAATAAACAATAATATTTAAAAGATTTTGTTGAGTTAATTATAATCAGTAGCTTCAAACTGAACTAACCTAATTTGGATCAGCGTGTGGAATTCGATTAGTGACAAAACATCTCTTTTTACCCCTGTATTGCATTAGAAGAAAGTTCAACACTACAGTAACATAGCGAATACACCTCATTTTGTAGCGTTGAGTCGCAATAAGGCTCCCTGCCTGACAGAACATTTGTCTTAATGCGACTTAATATGTCAATAGTTTCAATAAAGCGTACCTATTGATTTATAGCGTTTTTCGACAGCCTTTCGGAACGTGAAACTTTTTATTAAATCCTTTTAAGTTTCTCTGGAAGTTTCAACTTGGAATTCGAAACTTGTTCCAATGGTTCTTTCAATTTTCCTTAGCAAAGATGGTGCATACGTATACTGTACGCAGTTGTCGAGACTGTGAATCGATATTTCTCTACTTATAATTGCATTGAAGTCCATGCATGCCACAGGTGCCACATTTGGGTAAGGGGGTGGAAATCGGTGGTTTACAGGCGCGTGTTTGACTCCTTCAGCATGCAGGCTCACGACTGCCCTGGGACCTAAAGTGACACGGTCCCGATTTATTACCGCATTCTGACTATTTATGAATACACGCAGGAAATTGCTCTCATGCTTCTTATTCATTCGATTGTCAGTGTTTTTAATACTTTTGGAGTGTATGAATTCGAACATTTCCACCTTTTCCTATCTGCAAATCATCTGTGATTATTCCTATTTGACAGTGAAAATATTTATCCCAGGTGGTACCTGTTTTAAAAAAAGCAAATTACAAATTAGCATGAATCTCGATCGCTGGCCTGACGACCTACCCGACCTGGTACCTCTTTTATATTAAGGCAACTATTTATTTCGGCTCGGCGGCATTAAAATGTATCGATCGACATTGATTGGGTCAGTAATCGTACCGCAGTGACTGATGTGCCGAGTAGGACAAGAGGCCGCTTCTCCGCATCGGCGAGATCCAAGACGTGGGCACCCGTGGTACCACTCTATGACGTACTACCAGTGCCAAGCTGGGTACCTTTACGAAGCCAGTTCCTTTTTATTATTCGGTTCTGCTTGTGGCTGTTTTCATTTTCTAAAATTGAGGAATGAGGCAGAAAATTGCTCTAAACCGAGGGAAATTAATTCTATTAAATATAATGGGTCAAAATAACAATATTTTTAATTTTGATTTCAAGTCTATGAGCCAATTTCTGAGTGTCTTATGAAAGTTGCTTAGACTTGAGTAGAAGATGTCTTTAAAGTAGGAAAGTCCCTTTAGGAAAGGAGTAGCAAAATAAAGCCGTGCTGACGCGATACATTATTGTCATTAAATGTTGACGGAGTTTGTGTATGCCCCAGAGTTTTCACAGTGAATTGCTGAAAAACTGCAATATTTGCAAAACACTAATTTTTTGGCAAAAAAGTTTTTAAATCGCACCTACAAACCTGGTTTTTCTCATTACCTAGATGCCTGCTACTTTATACTCAATACTTTATTGTCAATTTTCTAAGAATATCCAAATTTTGAATCAAACTTATTTTTTCTTCTTTTCCGCACTTGCTTAATACTATTAGACATCTCGAGAGAATTCACGCTGTGTTTGAACTGTAATTTACTGAAAGTAGCAAGAATGGGAGAAATCATGAATGTATGACCTGTTGGCATCTTACTTCGTTTAAAATAGATTATACAGGGGTCCCGTAAGCACATGATCTTAAGGGAACTAAGACATGTTTTTGCGCAAATGAAGACCATATAACCTAACGTTTATTAAGAAAGAGTGCCCGGCTCCTCTTCTAATGATAATCAAAGTTCGTCATTTTTTTTTAATATCGGTAATAAGTGTGGAATGTGAAAGTGAGAAATTCTGGAGTCTCTCGCTCAAGAACTCCTTCAAAATGTAAAAAAAATAATAAGTATTTTTTAATTTTTATCAAATAAATCATGGTGTTTTAAAACGTGAATTTTTAATCTCTGCTGTGGATCTACAATTTTCGAATCTTTAGTGAACAGCAAAATCAAAGGTCAAACGTGGTTTTCAAGTTTTTCGCGGTTGCCATTTAAGAAACGTACAAGACTATTTATTATTCTCTGGGGGTTTTTGTCAATAATTTTGACCTTACAAGAAACTCTAAATGACGTGGTACAATCGGCTATTCCATGCGGGACAGTCACGTGGATCCACATCCCTACGTGTCGATGTTCTCCAGTCGACGTCGGGGACGTCGTCTGGTCGTCTCCACCACTAAGCGTGGCCCACGCTAGACACGCACCAGGTTCCCCGTCTTTGGGTCATCAGATATTGCCGTACACAGCTGGAGCACGTCGTGATACGTGTTCAGGCTTCTACTGGCCTCATATTAGGATTTTGGCTTCTTCGAACTCGGATAATTTGGCTATATGGGTCATTGCATAAAAAATGTGTTGCTAGCTTGTATTAAAGCTCTGCACCTCGCTTTCCAAACAAGCATTTTCAAATAATCTTTTATTTAACTTTAAAAGATCTGAAACCAATTCAGATAGAATAGATAGAGATTATAGTTTGCGCTTTGGGGGCGCAAACAGCATCAATGTTCAAGTTAAAGAAAGCTGGTTTTATCTAAAGTGTAAATGTAGGGCTCAGTGTTGGTGCATCATGTAAGACCCGGTTTTATCAGATGATTTTTTGTTAAAATCGGCATTATGACCGATTTTTGCTGCAATGCGATGATTTTTTCGATTTGCCTAAAAATCCATATAGCCGCATGGAACGTGATTTTGCCAATTTCATTTTTCCAGTATTATTAAGATTTCTTCCTGTGATTTTATCATCTCGTCATGCGTTATTCATGTCATATCTCTTCAGGGTTTAGCACGTTTTATTTGATAATTGATTTGATATTTTTCTGCGAATTTCCATAAAAAGCTTGAGCTAAATTCGAGAAACCATTTATTCCTGACAAGTGTGTTCGTTTCTAGGACAATAAGTCACGCAACTCTATTTTCTCGCTTCGGTTAATCCGTCCCCTTGACACTCACTAATGCAAAAATCTAAACCATAACCCATCGAGCAAACTGCTTTAGAGTAAATTAATTAGCTTCGTGCTAAACAGCATAGAGTTAAGGCACTGCTGACGAATTCCGTTCTATTAATTTACTGCTTTTTAACATTTATTGATTGTTTTTCTGATGGCAATTTTTATTAAATTGTTTTGTTCTTTTTTTTAGGAGTGATGCGGGACACTTGCGGAGCGGTCTGCTTATGCGAATGTATTGGTAAGTACATGGTTTGAAAGCTGTTTATGTATTAAATGTTACATTTTTGCTGCACCAACTGATGCCATCATACATAATTTAATTTTTATCCGAATTGGAATTCTTTAAAAGGTACTTTTATGAATAGCGTTTTAAAAGAATTATTACCAATTATTCGTATTTTATTTGCTTTATACTGCTTACTGTTCTTTAGCCTCATTCCTACCCCCCGAATTTCTTCACCTATCAGCGTAGTCAAATTGGTTCAGTGACCAAAAATATTTTCCTACTATATATATACTAATTATCATCATCAAATATATATCTATACATTTAATACCTATTCATTCATGAATCTATGCAGTTCAGCCTACCCCCCGGTATATTCCCCGTACCCAAACCAGTAAAACAATATTAAGAAAGCAAAAAAATGATAAATGAGGGGTGTTATGAAAAAGTTTGACATCCTGGACTCATAGTTTTGTTATTAAAGTTCAAAATATACAAAACTTGGCCGGGGTCCAGCGTGTCCACTTTCATATAAGATAATTTGTACAACATGTTGTCCTGTTTTGTGTCCACAACAAATCATTTTTATGTACGATGTGTCTGCCGGACCACATGCCCAGCGTAATTACGCCCTTGATGTGATGTATTAATCGAATATTGTTAGTTTTTAGTTGTTTTTTATCTATGAAAGCGTAATCAACCGACATTCTGGCTATGTTTAATTGAAACGCAATGAAGTTTGACGAATAAATTAAATTATAAGTGAAAAATCCCCGAAATTGATATCTGACGGTGTTTTAAAAGTAAAACACGTGACTTTTAAACGGGAGGCGTAACCAACAACGGTAAAAGGGACATTCAGGGATTAGACTAACAAAAGGGAATTAAAAGACCACGCGTACAGTCGCGTGTCCGTCCCTAAAGGGACTTACAAAGGTCCACCCTGTTTTAAATCCCATTTGAGGTCCAGTAGGGGTCAGTTTTCTTCACGATCCCTAACCGTGCGGCAAGGAATCAAGATTATAAGGGTGCGCTGCGAGTCAATCATAAAATATGGCTAGTTGTTGTATCGATGACATTTCTATGCATTTTAAATTCGCGCGCCTATTTTTTATGCTTCGACTAAACCCTCCATCCTGGATCAACCAAAACACGTCCATTTAGAGAGATTGATCTTCGCTCATAAACATAACCATTTGTCAAAATTTTGTGCAAAATGTGCCTCGGTTATTTATGCAAGAGTTTCACTTTTTCTTCGTTTCTTCCAATGCGTTTTCAGCTCTCATTTTTTATATCATTAGATAATTTTCATTTAATATTCTCACCGACTGGAATTTGTAGCTTAGTACATGTGGACACCTATTTCTGTTGTGTGGGACGTTTAATTTACCATTAAACATTTTAATATATATTTTTATGTAATTTTCTAAGTTGCCTCTCACAATAACTTTGTCTCGTTAATAAGCGAACATTGATTTAATTTCCATTTTTAGTAATTACAGAAGATCTCTAGTTAATATGTTTATACAACTAAACACCGAAGCACAAGTTAATTTTTCTGTTTTTTTAATTTTCTTTAGCTTTGTTCCTTTATATTAGTTCGTCACATGCCCGACTCCGCTTGGGTATATTATTATAATATCTAATGTCTATAAATATACAAACATATTATTTGAAATGATTGGAGAGCTCGGAAATGTATTCACAGGTCTCATGAGCAAGCACGCCCAAAACCGGTTTCGGTCCTATTAGTTTTTTTCTATAATTTTTAGACCTAAAAACTGGTCCTAAAATATTTCCTCTGTTTGAGCTAGTTAAATGTTGCTATGTTTTCGATTCTCGCCGAAACGTTGTCATATTAAACATATAATTTTAAGATAATGTAAAAATCCGATCAGCTTATTCAACCTCAATGTAGGTTAAGATTGAAGATCTTAATGACAATTCCAACAAAACAAAATTTTAATGCAAAGGAAACCGAACATAAATGATGAAGCAAACTAGGGGTTTTAATGGTTTACTTCTATTTTAGTGGGGAGTTATAGCGGTAAGCCGGTTATGATTGGAAACCACAATGGAACATTAAAAAGTAGATCTCGAAAGGCCCCGTGACCAATGTCGGGATTAACGCGAAATAATGCCGGTCGCCGCAATTTGGGGAGATTTAGAGAGGCATTGATTTATAGAAATTTAGGGCATATATCACTGAAAGAAAATATTAAGAGTTTTAGAATTTCGGCCCTGTTTTTGAGTTGACTTCAGTAGTTACATTCCAAACAAAACCGAGTTACAATAGTCACTGGAAATGATGCTTTGAAACCGAAAATGTTCTAATCTTATTTCGGAATAATCAAAAGTCATTGCCTTGAGGTTATCGAAAAGGAAAATGGTTTTAACCGGTATATAAAGATTCGATTTCACATGTGAACCGTGCAGAATGAAGCGGGATAAGAATCTGAAAAACTAAGGGGTGGCTCAGTTCGATATATCGTGTCTTTTATCTTAATTTATTTTTGGCTTCTGCCATGATCGGGCTGTCATAAAAGTAAATGAATTATGCAACGCAGATCTCTAAGTCGAGTTCGACTGACTAAAGAGGGTTGATTTCAAGTTTTCTCAATAGCATTTTATAGTTGGAAAACTTGACTTAGGAAGTGGGAGACTAAGGACACATATTATCAAATTTCATTTTGGCAATGTTCACTTTCAGCTTAGCAATTTTATTATAAATGCAGTGAATTTTTTCAGAAGAAATTATAATTCTGTAAATGACATAGAAGAACATTCCTGAACGTATCACGCGGAGAATCCGATTATGTCGGGAATATCGAATCACAATATTTATCAATTATTCACAAGATTTTCGTCGCTGTGCGGGGAAACGCCTTTCTCCAATTCCTCTGCGATATGCCGAGGTATGCATTAAGTGGTTTTTTCTTTTATTTTTTCACGTCCCACTGTCATATTTCATCATTTTCCCTCTACATTTTACCACAGTTACGGAACAATTTGCCATTTTGATCTGAAGTCGAATGTTGGATCATAAGAAAAAAGAAAATAGAGAATCGGGGTTACGGAGAAAACCAATACTATTCACGGAAAGGTATATCCCGTAACTTTCTAATCATATGGAGTTACAAAAGTTACCTTCAGTCAGCTATATTTTATATAAGGAAACATATTGATATAAGTTATTTTGACCATATAAATCGTTTATTGCTTCCGGGACTCCAAAATTATTTCGGAAAAAGTTTTCTTATTATCGAGACGAGTCTTTTGAGACGAATTCTTTACCCGGTTTTCTTAGTTTAAGACAATTGTGGGCTGTATAGTTCATTTATATGCTTTTATAAGTGATCTTTGTTCATAGAATTTGGCTTAGTTCCTCTTCGAATGAGAATCAAAACCGATTTTTTGAAAAGGTCAAAATACGATTTTCGTATAATTTGATAGCATTGATAAGTTGTTTCATTTGCTTCCTTTGTTCTGACGTTTTCTCGTTGATGTGTTTCTTCAATCTTAAATTTGATTAGATATTTATCAAGTGTCGGAGAACTAAATGAGTCAAATTGATCTAGCTATCATAAGTGGTTCACCCTCAATGTTTGAATCAAATGCATACCTTCATTGCGAATTCCATATAAGTATATAATTACCTATTGAATGACCTTAATACGAAGATATAAACGTTTAATGTATGCAGATGAATATAAAATATGAGGTATTATAACTGAAGGTATTGAGATGTAAATAACACGGTAGCCGTTTAAATTGCAAATTTAGTGACTTAATAATGATACCAATCAGGCAAACAAATTAATTTAAAGTGTTTTGTCTGAGCGAGAGCGTTGAACAAAATAAATAATGCAACGCATAGAGTCACGAACATACTGGGTGAGTCTAATTAAGCAAAAGTTGATTTTAATTTTATATTTAAAGTAATCCACCAAACTAGTCAATTTATCTGGTTTTAAATAAAACAGTTTAGAATATATGAACTCTTTTAATAATATCTGATGTTATCTATTTACTATTCTTACAATTTAATAATTTGATTATATCACTCTATACATGAGCCATTGAAGGAACAATTTGTTATTACATAAATTGTGTGACGATGTGCTGGTGTGCATGTTTACGTGCACATAATTTGCCAGATCCTACATAAACATGGCAGCACTTGCAACAGGTGTCTTTACATTTAATTTCTTTGCCTTCAATAAATACATGTAATTAAAGAATCATTTGTCGTGCCGAGTTATTTTAATAAAATGTCTGTTATTGCACTTTAATGGCGTGATTGAAATATTTTCACATATATCACAGCCCGTTGTGTGACCATTACATACTAGGATGCTATTTTTCAAATGATTTTATTTAGTATTAATTTTGTTTGGGACACGTCAATCTATTTATAGTGTATGTGTTTATAGTCCAAAACTATAACAAAGTGTAACATTAGGATGTAACTTACCGAGCATTTACAGAAGACGGATTGCCCACATCATCAACCGTAGGTTTTCTGGAAAAATTAAATAAAAAGTCAGTATAACTAAGGCCGTTAACTGCCCACAACATATTTATATTATAAACCGTGCTAGGCTAACTAGAGCGACACATTCACAGATCAACCAACCCTCCTTTCTTTAGGGCAGGGTAAGTACAACTAAAGTCCTAAAGGCAAAATTTCCACCCTCTCCGCCTTTAATACTGAAACTGTCACCCCTAAATAAGACTTAATATGTCCGGTTCAATACCTTTGGACCCGCAACTTCATTTATTTCACTGAGATGGAACTGACTATGCAAAGAAAACTTATATTAATGCAGACGGCTTGGACTGGGTTTACGGGTAGAAAAATCGGTTATTTTTAATCGCTAAAAAGTTTTGGAATCACTACGCACGATTACATCATAAATAAATATAAACATCAAATGAATGATGCCAACAACCTGATTAAAGAAGATTTAATAAAAAAAAACTGCGCAAACGGTTCATCGAGGACTTTGATGTTGACAACTAGGTGGTTTTCATGTGGGTTACATGTATATTTTAATGATAGATATGCTTTCACCCGACAGAACCATTCGACCAACTAAGACAAACCATCACAAGTACAGAACATTGAATTTAAAACTTATTTACGCCAACTTCAACGGACTAAACCACAAAACACATCTTATTTACAACTACATAGAACAAAACGAGACGGACGGTTGTATGTTTGGAGAAACCAAAACTAAAATAGGACAAGCACCGACGTACGGAGACTGACAGTTCATCTGCAGGCACGGCAACACCATTAACAATGCCAGAGGGGAGCAATAACATTTTCAAAACCAAAAATAAAATTAGGAAAGGCGAACGCTCCTTCTCTTAATAACCCCTTAAATGACTGTCTTCACTTCACTATACCTTACATAAAGAACTATATTCATATATTTTTCGTATTCATAGATCCCCACTCAGACATCGAACAAAACATACTATCCTAAAGTATATAATACCTATCCCGAAAAATGGACTAGACAACACACAAACACAAAACTTTAGACCCATCACACTACTCCCAGTAATAAGTAAAATGGTCGAACTCAAGATTGGACAACACATACCACCGTATCAATGTCGATTTAAAACAAATCACTAGACTATACACCCACTTTTCATCTTAACCATCAACATACAAGCAACACACCTCAACGGCAACAAGACAGCGTGTCTATTCATGGACATCAACAAAGCTTTCTACAGTGCCTGGTACAAAGGACTATTATACAAACTGCATAGACTTAATGCCCCAAAATACTTACACTATTAGAAATAGTATACACACACAATTACAAACGCAGGGATGACCTCTCTCGCAGTTCCTCTATAACATATAATGTCACCACATATACAACCACAACAAGCAGGACAAAAATAAAATTGAATAAACGGCTTACATATTACAATACGCAGATGGCACATCTCTTATTGTCGACTACAAAACAACACTGAGAGCGACACCAAAACTGCAATCACTAACCGACGATACTATGACATGGTTCTATAGATTGAGCTTAAAGCCAAACGCCACTAAAAACCAAGTTCTATTACCAAATCACCAGAAAGACGACCCTTTAAGTATTACTGCAAACGGCCACAGAACTGATCCCACACATGACGTAAAGTATTTAGGAATAACACTAGACTAAAAGCTAAGATTCACAAAAACTTAAAAAGTACAAGGATCGAAATTATCAAGAGGACAAAACACTTTCGAACATTAACATACAAAGGCAAAGGAATTAGTACAAAAACAGCAACCGAAATATACAAATCCATCTGCACACCAATTCTGGACTAAGGACACATACTCAGAACAAACGCTACAGACAAAACTAAGAGATATACACAGACTACAGAACAAATTGCGCTGAGACTAATAACACGAAAAAGACACCCGCAAAATGCGTACAATTATGGCCGATCGGAATGTTTCAATTAAAGCCACTGTAAGAAAATTAATGAGGAAATTTCAGCAAACTGAGTCTGTTAATGAAGTGAAAACAAAAACACGCATTAGGAAAACACGCTCTGGAAATTGCTGTTTCCACAATCAATATGCATCGAATTTTAATAAAAGATTTGAAGCTTTATGCGTACAAGTTGAATTGGCTCAAGAGCTAAAGCCGGAAGACCATGGACAACGAAGAGCCTTTGTTGATTGAATTTTGGAACAACGACAATTGGACAGTGATTTTTCAACAAATATCATCTTTAGTGACAAGGCCCATTTTCATCGTGATAGCTTCGTTAATCGACAAAATAGTCGTATTTGGGGTTCCGAAAATCCACTAGTGATCGTTCAGAAACAGTGCATTGTGGACTGGAGGCATCATCGGACCTTTTTTCTTCGAAAATGCAGTTCGTCAAGCATTAACCAAACCGTCAGTGGTGTTCGTTATCGTGAAATGTTAACGAACTGTTTGTGCCAAAATTGCAAAATATGGATCTCAACAGGATGTGGTTTCAACAGGACGTGCACCGTCCTGTTGAAACACGCCATACAGCCAGAGAAACTGTTCAATTACAGCACGAGTTATTTCCTTGTCTTGTTATTCCTCGTTTTGGAGATCGGCATTGGCCGCCCAGATCATGCGATTTAACGCCTTTGGAGTTTTTTCGTTCGGGTTTTTTAAAGTCACAAGTGAATAAACCAACAACAAGTGAAGCCTTCAAAGATGAAATTTAACGCTGTATCTCTGAAATACCCCAAAATTGATGCGCAACAGTCCTTGAAAATTTGATGAAAAGAGCACGTCTATGCCAGCAAAGCCGAGGCAGTCATTTGTCCAATTATGCAACAAATATATATGTTTTGTTTAAAATTTAAATCCGTCGTTCTTATTGGAACACCCTTTATATATACGAAGGCAAGACGTATTTGAACTATTGTTAATGTCTCTCTAACTTGCTTAATAACTCATTTAAGCAATAACACACTTTTAAGCTAATTTTTATTGTGAACACAACAGACATTCAAGTTTTTGGAGATGTCATTCGAAAGCTCCATCTGTTCAAATTTAATCAGCGCGACCCGGATTCTCGTGGTGATAGCAAAGCTACCATTTTATTGAAAATATAAGTAGAGGTTTTTCTAAATTGAAATACTGTAACAGATGAGATCGATCTAGAGTCTTCTTTCGTAATATGGAGCCAATTAATATCTGATTTCATTACTCTGGAGAAACAAAAGCGCAAGTCTGCCTATTTAAGGAATAATGGGATTGATCCCGCACGTGCGTGCGTATTGTTATCTTCTGAAATAACTCAGTTGTACTAGTTCAATCTTGCCGTACGGGATCGAGATGGCGACATCCATTATTCAACCATCCTTTCGATTAATGGGTACTGAGACTTTCTTACACTGGCTTGAAGATTGGTTGCATTTACCCATCATGGCTTGTACAAAAAAACCACTCATGAGGAACAAGACATTTTTAAAAGTAAAATTTATACTTTTTGCTGAGTTTGTTAAGACCATGGACCGAGTGAGTCTCAACAAGGTTGGCCTATAAACTTTCAATTAAGTTCCGCCAAATAATTATACTAAAAAAAAACTTGATTTTCATTTTTTTGTAATTTCTATGTATAAGAATAGTATTGAAAAAAAAAGTTTTTGCGAAGCCGAGGCGCCAACCGTGAGCTACAAGTGCTTCTCGGAATGTCATCAAATATGACAACGGCATTCCGTGCAGCTCGTGTGCTGTTTATGAGATATTTAACTGCCCTATAAATCAACACCCTACCGAAAACGCGTGTAATTAAGGGCGCAGTCAATTTACCACCACAAGCGACCGATCTGGCCACGTTGCCAGAATTCAATATTAAAAACGAGTTTAGCATTCATTTCAATCCAACTGCCTTTGATAATATTTTCATACCTAGTAATATATCTATTTGGGATTCTAAATGCGTGAAAATTTTTTATAATTTCATTAATAACTTGACTCCAAATATAAGTCACATTTATTTCAATTTAATCATAAAACACTCTTTGTCAAACTGCAGTAGTTGGTAATAGACTAATAAATAATTCCATCAATTGCCTGATGAAGAGGTTTATTTCGTTTCATTATTAACATTCATTCTCGTTTTCAATAAAATTTTGTATCGTGACCGGGAGGAATGATTATTATTATCCGATCAGTACAATTTAGGTTTCAACTTAGAAATGGCGATCTTTCTCTAATTTCAAATTAGAACTAATCATGATTTCTTGATATGCACAATATACTGCAAATTTAATATGCGATTCGATTAAATATTATTGATAACGGACGATAATGAAGTAACACTGCTATCTCGATTTAATCTTAGTTCGATTCCTTAATTAGACAATCTAAATGTAAGTTTGTATTCAAACGTTCACTGGATGTCGTCAAATATATGCAGGTGATTTTAGAAATATATCGATAAAACTCTAAATATATTGATTTTTTTCATTGTTATTATTGGAGTTTTTACTATTGTGGAATTGAAATCGATGTGTGCGCTGTCTTTAAATGCAATTCAATTTTGATGTAAGGAAAAACGTTTGAGGGCTACATGTCAATATGAAATATTGCTTAGTGTTCAGTTATTCGTCTAACTAATCATTTATGAGAAATTGATGACCACATCGAACAAGAGTCATTTCTTGTCACATTGAATCAATATGTGTTTTCTGGTAGATTCAAAGTCTGAAACGCACTTTTGGCTGCACCAAATAGCAAAATTATTTGTGAATGAGTCTGATGTAAATTAAAATGTTCTTCCCATCTTTTGAAGTCGCTTTCTTTCTGATGCAATATGCTTAATTATTAATATAATTAAATATAATTTGACATCATGAACGCAGAATTGATATTATGCCGCCCACATTTAGTATTAGTAATAAAGCAATCATACATTACTCTTTTGTAATTCGGAAATATTAGGTAAACTCGAATCAGCACTGGATTTGGATGCTATAGAATAACCAATTTTCAAAAT